CTGCTGTTATTAGAATCAAATTTCTATTTTAATAGAATGGAAAAAAAATAATTTAGCTCAGAAAATTATGATCCTTTGTAACATCTTCCCAGCTCTAATGCATTCATGTTGCCAAAAACATGAAAAGCTAGAGGGAAACAAGACACCTTTGATCTGCTCTGGTGACATGAAAATACTAGAATTTGGAATAACTTTTTTTCTTTGGAATAAGAGCTGAAAGTTTCCAAAAGACCACAACAGCCAAAATTTCTGAGAAGAATGTTTTGCAGCACCCGAAAAGAGGATCATGCAGACACAGGTTTTCAACCAGCACGTGGGTGCGCAACCCAGCAGAGCCCATCTTAAATAATTCTGACCCCAAAGCTCTTCTTCTGCTATCTCCCCAGCTCGCTGTGCACACTAAGCAGAACAAAGCCTCCTCCTTCTTCAGAAGAATGTAAACTTCCAGTCTAAAGATTCAACATCCATTCAAGCATACACCATACCTCTTTTCAGGTGTTTTGCAAAATACCCACTCCAGAGAGGGCGGCGGGTAGCTCTCAGATACGCACTCGATAGCATCTGGTTTTCCCCTTTTCCTGAAATAGGGTTTGCCTGGTTTCTCTGTTAAAAATAATGCAAATGTTTAAGAATGCTGAAATAATTTTGAAACTGTTTTGCTCATTTCATAGTAATGAAGTTACAGGGCTGTAATTTGTTTCAGGAGGTTTCAGCACTGAGGGAACAGAAAACAATCCTGCCCTGGGGATATTGTGGGTTGGTCTCACGAGCTTCTCTGCCTTGATTGCAAAATGCACAACTTGCCCCGTATCAAAGGCCTGCCTCTATACAGCAGAGGATAATCCTGAGACTGATACTGAAAGGTGTCAATTTGCTGTGGTTGCTATTAATTTCACTGGGCAGGAGCACAGATACCTTTCGAAATCACATCCCAAGCCCACGGCCTTTGGTGGAGTATCTGTTGAGACTACAAAATCTTCACACAAAATGGGATCGTTGCCTGCTACTCAGTCAGATCAGATACATGAGGCAAAAAACAACGGGTGATAACGACTTCTGACAACCAGCAGCCTGCTCTATCCTGTATCTGTAACCTAGAGGGGAAAAGGTTCCTAGACAACTCCCAACAAACCCGTCAGGCTCAGACCTGGACTAAGCACAAAAATTAAATGTATTAAAACTCCAAAGACTTGACTCAAAATGAAAAGCACCGAGTCTGGTTTTAGGTCATCTTCCACTCAAATTATGGCTGCCAGCCAGAAGAGTGACTTTTTCTTTAGAGTCATTGCCTGCAAGGTGACATGCTAAGGTGAAACTAATACTTCTGGGTTTTAATTTCTTTCTTCATTTCTCTCTTATAAGCTGGGCCTAGAAGGGTTTTTTTTCGCCAATAGAGATTCACACTTCAGATGAAGGATTCACATCTAGCCCGAAGGATTTTGTGAGAGATGTAATTATGATATTAGATTCACAGGAGCAAAGAGAATGCAAACCATGCAATTGATATGGAAAAGATCTTTATCAAGACTGTTTCGGACTACTCTTGCTTGCAGATGTAATAACATTTTTTACCTCTAAAGCCTAATTGATACACTAGAAAAGGTAATATTTAATTACAGATTTAATATGCTGTCGCCTCAATGAAGCTGTTAAGATTATAATTGAGACATGCAATAGGCCTTCAGGTAAAGCAAAGTGAGACCGGAGGTGACACTTCTGACACCTGAGAGAGAAAAAAGCCAAACAGAAGAAATATTTTAAAAGCAAATAAAGAAAGAATAAAAAAATTATGAATAGTCACGGTTTATTAAAAACAAGGCAAGTAATGATGAGTGTTATTAAATCTGCCTCTAGAAGGGGTTGTTCATAACTTTGCCAGTCTTCTAGCTGTTTGGATTGATGTTTCACTTTCTTTTCTTTGAATTTTCTTTTACATTTTTTTTTATTTTATCTTTAAATTTGTCCCTTTCTAGATAAAATACTATGGTATTTCTCTTCGGTTAAAAAAAATCATGCCAATGTGGGTCTTTTTTTCTTTTGAGATGTTCTTGGACATCCCTACTTAGAAAGAGAATCTTGAACTTTGTTGCAGCAGTTGCCTTTGCATCAGTGATGTCTCTTGTGTGATCCTTGAGAAAATTCAATCAAATCTGCTCCCACTGCAAGTCCTTCAAAAAGTTACAACTTGCACGTGCTCTGTCACGAGCAGTGAACAGCAGCTAAAATCTCAGCTTCTCGGACACCCTTGTGCTGTGCAGCTGCAGTGCTGACGCACTTTACCCTAAAACCCAATACACAAGTAAAGGCTGGCACTGAGAAGAGGGACCTTGTCTTTCCGCTTCCCTAGTGACGCCTCTTGCTGCCCACAGAATTGTGAAAGGACAAGCTGTGAGAGCAGTGCCAAGAGACCCAGTGGCAGGCACAGGCGGAGCAGGGGCAGAGTGGGACAAGGCGTTACTTTGCAGTGCCAGAGACCAGACAATAAAAGGGATGTCCTGATCTGGTCCAGAAAACAGCCCAGCCAGCAACGCTGAAAATAAATAGGTTAAGATGTGAGCAAGCAAATCTAGCCTGTGAACTCTGAGAGCACACAAAAGCCGCCCTCGATTTGTCCCTTTTGGCACAGAGGGGAATCTCTCACAGGGGAGAAGAGAGCTGCCGTGCATTTACATCTTTATTTGTTTATTTGCATGGTTTATTGACTAGAGAAAGCTGACTCTCACGCAATCTGTGGTTTTGACTTCAACCTCTGAAAACAGCTCCAAGTCCTATGCAAATCTAGGAAGATGCTTGAAATGCAGCACGTGAGAGCTTCATTGCTTTGATTGTACTCGAGCCTCTCCCCTTGAACCTGTTGAAGGAATGACCTTTTTCGTACAAGATATACTTACTTCGGATGAGAATAGGCACAACCACTGTGTAATTGCCAGTTTCACTTATGACTGAGAGGGTGTATTTTCCAGCTTGTGTTTCTTTTATTTGGGAAAAAGCCAAAGACGCAACATATCTGGAAAATGGAAGATAAAGCTGCACTTGTTATCTAGAAGGTGATATGCAGCAGACACCACAAAATGTTAGCTCTCTAGCTCTTGCAAAAACACTTCAGAGATACTAGTGTTCATTATTTACATCGTGCCCTTCAACCTGAAGTGTCTTCATCGTGTATCTTCCTACACAAGCAGTACGTGGGAACTTAGAGCCTCAGGTACCCAAGCACATGCTTACCACCAAGCATTGGGAAGGATGGAATTCCTGAGCTTAGGACAGCTGGGGAGGTCCACAGGGAAAAGTTTACATACAGTCCCTTGCTGCATGTTTTGCAGGGCAAGTTAACAATCCAGCCTTGTGTTCCAGCCCAGGTTTGGCTGTGAGAATGAGGGTGCTGTGGCTGGTGCTCCTCCTGATCTGCAGTGGGACCCTACCAAGTAACGTAATTCTCCATGTCTCGGTTTCTTTGACTATCAAATCACCATATTTGCCTCACATGAGCATTGCAAAGCTCACACTGATCAATGTCAGAAAGTCCCTGGGGACCCCCATGCATGATGCTATACAAATTAAAAGAATGAGCTGATTTCAAACTATTCTTGGCTTTAAGATTTCTGTGTGTGTCTGTGTCTAAATGACAATCAGCAATGTGGTGCCAGGTGACAACAGTTAAGAAAGATTAGAACATTTAAAAAGATAATGCATAACATGAAATTAAATGCAAACACAGTCATAGAAAATATTCCATTTACATCCTAAAACAAATGATCTCTTAAAGGTTCTTTGATCAAGCACATCCCTTGACTTACTGATTCTCTGAGTCCAGTGAAGGTTTACAAGCTTGGCTTTCTGTAAAGAACCAAAAGCATGAAGTGATCTCTGAAATGTTCATTATCACTCTTAATTCAATATCTTCAAACACATTAACTTCCACATTTTTGGTCGGTTCATAGATGCTCTCTGTTCCTTGAGAATTCAAGTAACACCCAAGATCTTTCAAAATGTTAGAAATCTGCAATGCAAGAGGACAGATTGTTTCATATTTATTAGCAATTAGATTTAGTTGCTTTTTTGCATTCAAATATTTTTAAAGGATGGTTTTCTGGAAAAGCTTTCATAAATTAGTAATGTCTCGTAATGCCCAAATATGAGTACAAATTATACTGATATAATACCTTAATCATATCTTCATTTTGTTTGGTTTCGGTTTAGATTTTTTTCATTTCCACTGTCAAACTCATTCATTAATATGTTGACTTCTACTGCACGAGGAAACACTATAGGATTCCTGTTGAATTAGTTAATTCTGTTCTCTAGATGGACATCACAGAACAATTTTAGCCAGAAACAGGGTAACTTCCCTCAATGATAGAGGCTACTCTTTACTCTCATTTTTGTTTCCTTTCATGTAAAACCATAGGAAGACAGAGAACTATAATACAAACTTTCTGTTTGTGATCTCAAGGCAAAAGCAGGGCCAGAACTATTTTTTTTTTAGCATCCCACTGCTTGTCATTGCATCATCTCGCTAGACTGCTCCTCAGCTCCTTGAGGGCTTTACTAGGTAGAGAACGTTTGGGCTGGGCGCCTTCACACCTTTCGTTTCCTCACCACTGTGTAAGCATAAAGGAGAATTGGAAACAGAAAGCGAATATTCCACAGTCATTCTGAAAGCCACAGATTTATTAATGAGTTTCTCAGCTTAGCTGCAGCAAAAGATGACAAGTAAATAGTTTCATGTGAAGACCTGCCATAAATATCTTCTTTAATTTGGTGGATGAAATTCATTTGGTGTAAATTTATGCAAGGATGGAATTCATTGCACCCTCTGCCCCAGACTGTGCTTGGCCAGTTGGTTCCTCTCATTCCTTGCTCTGTCTTTTTCCCTTGGCTTGATCTGAGAAGTATCTAGATGTAACAGCCATCTTCTGCCTTGTCAGATACAAGCACAGCACAGCTTTGAGTGGTTTACCTTCATTTGTTATCTGAATTACTGATTTATTTGTCCAGGAATTAAAAAGATTTCATAAGACTATCTCAAAACAAGAATCCTCAGGAAATATTTTAATCACAGGTCTTGGCTGCTTTATAATTTATTTGCACATCACCTCTTCTCGGCCTTCTGTTTTTTCGAGTCAAAAGAGAAGAAAATAAACCCCACATTTGATCCCCTCTGCAGCTTTCAAGTCTCAGTCAAGGTTTAAAACAGGCAGGGACTGACAGGCTTTGGTGGTGGGAATAGAGGGTAGTGCAGCTTCCCCATCAGTCCCAGCAGCTGTGGCTCACACCCACCATGGCAGCCCACGGGTTCACACCACGGCCTTGGCAATCCTCTCTTTAGGGCACATAGTTTTTCACATCGATACCTTTCCAGCAACACTCAGCAATATTCAGGTGTGTTGATACGAGACAGCATCAAGGCAGTAATTAAAAACTCAGTTTTAGAGAAAACCGATGCTTATCTATTTACAGTTTCAAAGTATGAATTGTGATACATATTTCCATCTAACTTTCTGTAGTCATATTTGGCCTAACTTTGTTTATTTTGACTGTGACATCCCTACAGCCTGAAGGTTTAGGGTGTTGTAAGCTTCTGGGAAGGTATTTCTGGAATGGACAAGAATATTTCATAAGCAACTCGCTCTCTCCTAGATTACCTTAGGAGATACTGATGCCTCTGGTGTTCCTGAACCTTCAACCTTCCGGCTGATAAACACACATTTAATCTCAGATGTATTTTGATTCATTGCAGAAGTGGAAGTAACTGCTGTCATAACGAGAACTGTAAAACAGAAATAGAAAACAAATGTAATCACGTTTACCTCTCTGGTCAGGGATAACAATTTTAATAAAAATAAAATACAACAAAACTGTAGAAAGATTACATCTTTTTTAAAAAAAGGCAAAAGTAATATGCAGATATCTCGTGCCTTTGCAAACTCTGCATTTGTGTATTGGAAATGAGTAAAAGCACTATTCAGAGAACCTTTCAAAAGCACAGATACATCACACCTTCTAACTACGTTCCACAATATTGCAGAAAATGTCTAAAGACAAAAGTTTTTATGGGTTATGGAGTCTCCTTTAGAAACCACGTTACAAAACACAGGCTCCCTCTTGCAGCTCAATTCTGCATTAGCGTGTCTGAAAGGCCCTGCAGCACCAAACCCTGCAGCCGCAGGCCAGCGTTTGCCTGGTGTGAGGCGGAGGATGAGCATGCACCATCCCTCCCACCAGCACTAAGGAAGTGTCCAGGCCAGAAACACTCCTGAAGCACCCCTCACTCCTGCTCAGAGCAGTGGCAAAATAGAGTTCCCCACTTGCCTTTAGAGCCCACATTCAGCTCACCCCAGGACTCAAGCTCTAATCTTCCCTTTCCCTTCTCTCCAGGACAGGCTGTATTCGATCTGACATGCTGGAGACTCTCCTGAGCCTTCCTGATGCAGATTTGTGCACCCCAGCACCTTGCAAGTGAGGGCCAGGTCAGGTGCTTCTTCGCTTGAGCTGCTGTTCTCAGTCTTACACTCTTTTTTAGCAAGGCAGCAATTCCCACTCTTTAGAGGAAAGCAGATGCAGAAAGTGGAGGGCACGGAAGAGTAAGCCCATGGCTTTCTCCTGCCCTCTCCCTCCTCCATACCTCCCTGGCTCTGTCACGCCCCGGGAGCTTACACAGCCAGGGCAGCTCACCTGCCAGGTCCAAGCCCTGGCAGGAGGAGCAAATGTCATTCTTCTTATGCATCAGGAACAGTATGGGAAAGCTTCTGATGCCTCAAAGGCATCATCTCTCTGAAATGCTCCATATGAGCCTTCCTGCAGGGACTGCAGCTTGAAGAGTGACCTTTTAGCCTTAAAGGTGCTATATAGTAACCATGCCCCCACCATTGCACATAAACAAGAAAAACAGAAGTAAGACTGCACAACTGGCAGAGTGAAATGTGTCTGGTTTCCACTACGTCCCTAAAGCCAGCCCTCAACTGTACAAATAAGCACTGAATTACAAAATAACATCTCTCTCCTGGTGACCTGGAAAAATTCTGCCCTTGGGTCTTGTTTTTTTTTTTTTTTTTCTTCAGCTCCTGAGATGAATGGACACAAAGCAAGGTGCAGAGTTGAAAGGAGGAGAAAAAGTAAATATATCAGAAAGCGCTTGAAGGATGAAAGTAATGAGACTGTTTCTGCAGGTGATGGAAGGAGCAAAACTGGAAGAAGAAAGAACCGAGTAAGAGTTGCTGCTGTCTCCTCTTTGACGTTTGTGCCTTCTGGAGCTGCCCAAACTCTAAGCCGGCAACACTTTGACACCTCTTCTCAGCCCTCTTGGCAAATGTGGATTAAGACTGAGTCCTTCTCATTCAGGCATCTAACATACACACTTCATTTTGGGTGCCACCTTTCCACAGTATACACAGGCAATTGTCTGCTTTTGCAGACCTCTGAGGAAAAACCTATCTGTCTGTTTGTGATCCCTAAGAAAGGTGAACCGAAATTCTTTATGGAGACACGTATCCCCCTCCATTGGCTATGATATTGGCACTTCCTGAGACAGTGAGTTCCAGAGGGTAGCTGAAAGGCGGGTATGCGTTAGGTACCTACACCAAGCATGCTGAATTCCTCCCCATCGATGCAACCCCGATTTCCAGCCCTCCCACTAGCCTTTCACCAAGTCCTTCTCTGCTCAGCTTTCTCCACTTCTGTTTGTTGGCCATTTTACCTTTCACCCTTTTCAAACCAGAGACCATCTGACAGGCTTACAGCCAGGGGCTTAGCTGATGGAAACCCACCTACATCCACTGATTTCCAGGATACACCAGCTGAAATCACCTCAAAAGTTCAGCTTATTTGGCCTGTTGAGCATTTCCTTGCTTCAGCTTTCCAATCTGCAAATAGCTTTAGCTTCTGATTGTACAAGCTGAACCAATTTATCCCTGGCTTTACTCCACTTTGCTCACGTCGCCTTGTTAGCAGGATGCCCAACGCCACAGTCGGAAACGGAAAGATATATTTAAACACCAACAGGGAAAAGCTTTGCAGCTAAGAGTTAGGCAGAAGCAGACAGATGTAGCAACCAGACTGTGAGCGAGACATGCAAACAAGGTGTCTGATGAACTGGAACTGCATCCGTAAAGGACAGTATGGGGGAGTGTATGCTGGAAGAGGGAGTAGTGAGAACCCTGACACCCTCAGGTACAGGAAAAAATGGGGGTCCTTGGCTGTCCTCTGCCTTTATTCCTGTGAAATCCAGGAAGGTTTTTAGGGTAAGGAAGGATATTTTGAACTGAGATGATTCTAGTTGCTTTACAGTGAGAAAAAATGAGCGATGTGCTAGTCAGAAGTATTCACATGTGACAAGATGGGGTGGCCTAGACTTGTATAGGTCTTTGAGAAGTACATTACATCATTAACAAAAGAGAAAATGAGAGCATGAATGAGCCTTTCAGCAGAAGCAGAATGAAGAAAAGAAATGCTGGGAAAAAGGCAATGCTCTGCTTCACCGTCTTGATCTTTCAGCTGCTAGCTGGCCTGTTCAGAGACCGCTGTTACGGCCTGTGCATCAGTCATCCTCCTGGAAGACCAAAGTGAGACCTGCAGAGGCTGAAAGCACTGGGTAAGGAATATCAAACATGTAGCATGCATAATCGTATTGTATATTGCTGAACTGTAGTGAAGCTGGAAGGGAAATAAATTGCTGCCTCTGAACAATGTTTCTTTATGCCTGCTTTCCACCTTCATTATCTTTTTATAGGATATACAAAAATAAATGCAGTAGGAGAAATGTTGTTCTCACTGCAGTCAGACAAACCTTTAGCTGCCATAAACTGAGTCAGGATTTCATCAAGATGAGTAGGCACATACATGGGAAAATGCCTGTACAAGTCAAAAAGCGGGATTAGATGTACCTGTGCTGAGAAGAAAGGTCTGAATCATCCAGAGAGATATCAAAACAAGAAGCTACGTTTAAGCTAGTTCAGCTATCAGATGGTTGACCTAATGGAACTGCTTATGAAATTTTATTTTGAAATAGGGGATCACTAAAGGAGCCTTTGGAAAACCGGGAAAGGCACTCCAAAAGACACTGAAAGTCTGAGTTTATCAGAAAGGGAATAGCTGAGGAACTGGAGTGCTGTGAAGGATGGAGAGAAAACCTCTCTCTTCACACCACGGGATGCATCTTGTGTTTGTGTTCAGCTCAGGGCGCTTAGAATTTTGAACAGCAGTCAGACCTTTCCCAGACATGTAACAATCTTCTACTCTGCTCTGCAGCTCAGGAGACTTACATAGAGCAAACTATGTTTTGCATCTTATTTGGCTTCTCAGTGTTTTCTCTGGGTGAGACTCTCCAGATCAACTCTTTCCAAAATTTTCTCCATGATCAGGGAAGGTAGAAGGACCCTTTTTTCCAGGAAAGCTATAGTTGTCCCACAGCCATGTGCTGCCAGAAACAATCGTGTCAACGTGGTGACACGGATGAGCCTAACATGCATGCATCAGCTCTTAAAAAAACCCCACATCTTTGTATGTGGCTGCTTTTCCCAAATCACCCCAAAGTGGTGGATCTTGCAGGGAGAATTTTACTCAGTATAAATACGATAAAAATCAGAGGGAGGCAGAATAGGTGGAAAGAACAGATCTTCAATGAATTCCTACTTTTTACCCATATCTTATTTCTCTCCCATGAAACTTAACTTTTCTCCTTCTCCATCTTTTAGCACACCTTCCTTCATCCTTTCAGCTTAAATTACGTCAAAAAATAACTTCTAAAAAGCCGCAACCTGTGATCTCGGTCTCCCATGTTGATGGGGTCGGAGCTGTTGCTCCATGTCGCAGAATAATGTTACAACCAGGTTTAACAAGCGAGGTGGGTGACAAGACGCCTCTGCTGCCGCTCAGGCTAATTGCGACTGGCTGCTGTAACGTCGGACGGGGTACGTCTAGGTCAGGAGCAGCCATTCGGCTGGTTTTACCAGTTAATTACAACAAACGTCACGTGAACTGATTTAGTTATTTACAGTCGTGTTCAAGCACGACTGAGATGTGAGATGGGAAGCAAAGCCTGCGGAGCGCGGCGGCTCTCCAGGAGGGCTCAGCGGCAGGGAACCGAGCACCTCTGCACCCCGCAGTGCCGCGGCCCGAATGGCTGCGGGTGGGAACGGGCGGCGGGGAG